TACTGGAACATCAAAATTGAAGGCTTTTCAATTTTATAGTCATTATACATTTTGCAGTCTGAAATACTTTCACATTTTAATTCAGGATTTTAGAAGTTACATAGGTGGGTTTTTTTTAACCATATCTTTGTTCTCCTGCCCATCATGGAATTTATTAGCAGTGGAAAAGTTAAAGGGAAGGAAGTAATTCTAGAGGCAAAAAGTAACTGCATTTTGGCACTCAATCTGAGCTAGCATTAAGGTAAACACTGATACTAATTCAATCCCATGAAGGCAAGTGTTTTCCATAACCTGCATTTAGTGCTGCGTGTACACCATGTGTCAATGGATGCAGTTAGCTGACAAAGGGCTGTGCAAAGCTGTTTAATCTTTTCATTTGTGAAGTACTCTGAAGCATTTAAAGAATATCTCTGAACACTTTACATGAAGGCTCTTCCATTCCTAGCACATGATTTACAGTCTTTAAGAACCCATGTGAAGTTGTTTAGGACAAGACAGCTGAATGGCTCATTCCTAATACTCCTTGGAAAAATACCTATTTCAACATCTGAGCGACCTAAATGGCAGTTAGAGCATTTTACCTCTCCTTTGTGCTTTATCCTTTGTTTCAAATCTGAAGCCATCCACAGCAAATACTTCAGCTCATCTGCTGTGTAGTTCTGTAGAGTAAGGAGGTCACGGCCCTTCAGATGAACATTCATTTGAGCTGGTGGCTTGGACCTGTGCCAAAAGAGCAAAAACTACACACTTTTTGTCATTCCACACTACATTGTACACATAGTAAAGCCAATGAGCAAGCAGCTGAAATCTCTCCCATATGACCTAGCTTGATGGACTGTGTTAATTAGTTTAAGTAACTTCCACTGTCAGACGGATACAACATATCACACTATATCGCAGAGCAGTAACAGTTTATAAAGTCATATTATAAAATATACATTAGATGCAGCTTATTTTGCCTTCTGATATGCACATGACTGCATGCTGACTCATCAAATAAACCCAAATGCATAAAGCCATTTAGGGCTTTGTGAAATGGCTTACACATAGATTGCAAAGCTGCCCCTTGGTGGCACAGAATATGAGGAATGGATCTTGGTGCTTTTTCTTGTGGATAAGTAGACACTTGTCATGTTCCACACCCATCAATAGAAATGGCAGGATTTCTATAAATGTGTATGAAACCTCTTGATTGCACTGGGGAAGAAGGTAAAAAAATCCAACAAAATAGTCATGTGCTCTGCTTCTTCTCCTGCCACAGAAGAGGCATTCTGGGCACGTGCAATGTATTTGTGCAGTGTATTTATTCAGTCTATTCTGGCCTCCAGAATTACAACTTCAGAATCACATTAAAATGGTTGTTGAGAATCATCTGCAAAAGTAACATGTTCACATTTTTTCTAGCTTAGTTGAGGTGTCTTAATGAAAGTCATGTCCAAGCCTGTGTTTCCACAGGCTTAAGATTAAAAAGGGAGACTGGCAATTTAGCCTCTTTGGCTCTGTACCTACTGTCCTCTGTAGCATAACACAGCCAGCAGTGTACTCCTGCTAGGGTTTGGATGGGTACAAGCTAAACTTGTCTTTTTAATAAAAGGCAGCAGCTTTACATTGATCCGATGAAATGGAGACCAAAGCAATGCAAACAAATAGATTGAGTGCAGATACTGCTTTCGTATTTCCTAGTAGGCTTCCCTTTAGCTCACCTTTGAAGCCAGCCTCAGTTACACCTGCCAACTGCCAAGACCGTGTAACAGCAGAAACACAGAGAATATATGAAGTAGCCCATGCAGATGCCATGCAGATCAATATTGCTGGAACTCAGTAAGTGCTGCAGTGTGTCAGGGCAATGTGCTCCAGAGATTCTGCAGACTGCCAAAGGATCCACCACTAAGCTAAGCACAAAGCACCACAAAGATTCTCATCAATGCAGAGGGCTGGACTTTCCTGTAGCACCATGCAGATAAAGGAGGGGTTTTATTAATTTCTAAGTTGCCTGACTTTTTTCTTGGAGTGTCCGTGAAAATTGATTCTTAAGTGAAATACAATCTAAACTATATGTATGGCTTAAGTAATAAGTACTTGCAGCAGTACCATTTAAAATAATAGTGCACATTTCCAAGCCATTAAGACTAATCTTCATAGCATTACAATCATTACTAACATGAAGCTATGTATTTTGTTATAAGTATTATTCTTCTCTCCCCATCCTTCTCTCCAACCTGAGGTAAACAACCTAGAAACAGTTAGGAAGCATCCAAATGCCCCATGTGGATGTTATAGAGGTATTAAATTTTTTCCTGTATGTCAACAGCTGCAGAATAGAATATACCTGACATTATAAGAAGGGCTGGGCATTCATGGGCTGGGTAGCTTCCACCATAGCATGAAAAACAGCCAACCAAGGTAAGCTACTGAAATACAGCCTTGAATACCACGGCTTTTAGTTGATGTTAGATTTGCTCTAAATTCAATGTGTATATTTTGAAGGAAATTAGTTTCATAACTGTAACTTCTTTATGATTATGATTATTCAGAAGAGGATTTGCTACTCTATCCAGTTTGGAGGAACAAAAAAAAATACTTGCCCTGTTTCAAAATCTATGTAATCACTTGCTACTTGGTCACTTTCCTCTCCTTTGCTGCATTGTCTAATTGCAGCCTGCAATTCCTTCCAGGGAGTTAGACATTGTCTAATCTCAAGCTGACAAGCAGAGAATTCTCTTCATTGGTCTTGTTTTACCACTTGGTATGGTTGAGAAGTGGACTGAGAAATATTCACCACTAATTTCTGCACTATTTCTGTAGATAGTTAAGCACTAAACTTACTCAGAGAAGATTCAGAATCCTTGGAGACTTTCAAGACGTGGCTAAGCAAAGATACAGGTGACCTCATATGCTGTTGTTGTCAGGCTCCAAGCAGAAAGTTGGACTACAGGTCTGCTCCTGACCTCTGTGTTCCCATGATGATTTTGTTTTATTGCTATGACCTTCAAGAAATGTGTTCCCTTCCCTGTTTTCCACATCCTCTGGAAGAGAGGCAGAAGTGGACAAATAAATCCCAGAGGAGTGTGAGACAACATACTGAAGTTGAAATGTAACAGGCAGAATTGCAAGGCCAAGCAGTTGGATTACTTCTTTCTGAGCAGGAACAGCAATTATTTTGTTCTGTTACCACAGGCTGATAGATAGGGGTTATCCTGCAGTGTCAACCATAGTGTGCTTATCTTGTAATATGCATAGGCAGTGGTAACAGCTTATGCCAATGTTATGATACAATGTTAAAAATCCCCTAAAAATAACAACCAAACCCCCAGTATTTTATGGGCTTATTTATGAGCTTAACAAACTGGATGACTTTATTGGAAAGCCAGCTTTAGAGAAAGTTCTCACTGATTGCTAGAAGCAAAAATCCAAAATATACAAAAAAATTATCACCCAGACATCAGAACCACTCGGAAGCTGTAGAAAATTAATCACAGAACTTGGAAAACATTTGGTTTTCATCTGCCATAATGTAGAAACTATAAGTAAAAACTACTTACTGCATACTTGGATTCCTTTGAATGTTAAATTCTCATATATTGTTTTCAACAAGAACCCAAAGCCAGATCACAAAGCCAGGTCTACCTGGTTAACATTGAGCCTCGTATCACATCATGCTTTTCCTGCATGTCTCCAGTGTATATAGAGACAAAAAATAAATAAATATAGAAGCAGAGATTCACCTTGCAGCTTCAAAGAGGAGAATTTTTCCCCCTACTACTGGCCATGATAATTGTCTAAACGTGCAAGAATTTCCTGTACTTTATTCTGGTAGTTATTTATTGATTCAGTACCTGCAATGTACACTGACCTCAAGAAGAAATATTCCTTCTTGACTTTGCTGCCAAATCCCACAGAAGAATTAATAGCATTTAATGAACATTAAGATGGAAAATCCTCCAGTTCCCTGAAGACACATAGCTTGTTGCTTCGAAAAGCAAAAGGACACTAAAAATGCAGGAAAAAAGCACACCTTTCTCTGAAACCCTCATTCTTTCACAGGATTCAGCAGCTTTTGTCTCCAGGTTTCTGTCACTGACTGCCAGACAAAACTAAAGGATCAGCTTACCGAAACGGCTGCAGCAGCTGCCTGCTGGTCCCTGTTAATTTTGAAACAGTGAAGTTCCTCATGCTAAACAGCATCTTCTGTCTGCGTTAAGACTTCTCTCAGTCCCACAAGTAAGAGAAACAAAGGCGTATGAAGCAGCAAGCAAGCTATGCTGCTGTGCTGACAAGGGAAAAGCAAGAGCTAAAGTCTTTGCTTTGAGTGTCCCAGCCAGGGCTGGGCCTGGCAGAGGCTGAATATGAAGCTTTTCCTTGGTCAAACTCCACGGAGAGAGATTTCTCACAGGCCCCATTGCACCACTCACAGTGTGTGCTCTTCTCTCTAGGCCCATCATATCATACCTGTGTCAACACCACTTCGTAGCAATTTCATGTCTGGTAAATATTTGTGCAGGAGCTTGTGCTGGTAGAAAAAGGCAAAAGATTGGTCAGAACACAGCATGAGTGGGGAGGCTCCCTTGGGGACAGGACCATGACCACGGGGGCTCACCAGCCCCAGCACGGCCTGGGCAGGGACTGATCACCCCACATTGAGCAAAAACAGGTGTCCTGGGCCCACAGGTGTGGGGCTGGCCAGGGCCATTCAAGCCTATTTGTGCCTTTAAGGCCCTAACAAGAATGGAGAAGAGATACACCATGCACCCATACAGATTAGGGGTTGACCTGCTGAAAAGCAGCCCCATGGAGAAGGACCTTGGGGTCCTGGTGGATAAGAGGTTAACCATGAAACAGCCATGTGCCCTTGCAGCCAAGAGGGTCAATGGTGTCCTGAGATACAGTGTGGCCAGCAGGTCAAGGTCACTACTCTGCCCTAGTAAGACCACATCTGGAGTGTTGTGTCCAGTTCTGGGCTCAGTTCTGGTTCAAAAGGAATGGAAATGAATGAGAAGGGAATGAAAGAGCCAGAGGAGCTGCACATAGAGAAGAAAGCTGGGCCATGGTTTAGCTCTGGCTTTCCTTTCCCTGGCAAATGACTTCCATGGCCTTCAATCCCAGCCCCTGGGCTAGTGGTAGTACTAGTGGTATCCAGGAGAAAAGGTGGAAGGGAAAGCAAAGGTGATCAACGTGCCAAGGCCCTCAGTCTCAGCCCCACAGACAGGGGACAGTGCTAGTGCCCCTTTGTCGGGTTGCCCCTGGGCAGGACTGTCTGACCCCAGTTCCCACATGGACCAACTCCCTCATAAGCTCCTGTGAGCCAGCAGCAGCATTGGGCACGGGGGGAGAGTTGGACCAGGAGTTCGTGTCATGCAGTTCCCTTACATTTGGGGTGACAGCAGCACCTCTCAGTGCAGAGCCCCAGAGCCACTTCCCGTTACTGTTAGCTGTCCCCAGGCTGCCAGGCCTCAGTGTGCTGATGTGGAAAACTGACTCACTCATTTCAACACCATAAAATGCTTCAATGTTGAAATCAGGATTTAATTGGTTTGACGTATTTCTATATTCCAGGGCTTGGTGTCGAAAAATGAAGCAATAGCAGCACATGGGTTGAGATACACTGGTGAAGACAGAATAATGGAGTGTAAGAGAAAAGTAGATTAAAGTAAAGGAATTACATTGATATGGTCATCTGATATGAAGATAAGGCCTCTCTCCTCTCTGAGCTGGCAGAAGACTGACCCTTTCTTGAGGGAAAGCAGCAGCCAGGGTAGGGAAAGGCAAGGAAAGCATTTACACAGCAGTGGCTGTGGGATGGTGCCCAAGAATGCCCGTGCTGCTTCATTTCAACCCAAAAGAAACACCTTTGGGAGGTCAATGTCCTGTCACAGCACATCTGCTCTCCAAGCCTCCCACCCCAAGAAAGGGCCTGACCTCAGTGTCTCTCATTCACAGAGCAGGACTTGGCAGCCAGAATGCCTCCGAAGGGGAGCAGCTCCCAGCCTGCTGCACCCTGCTATGCCAACAGCTGCACGATCCACTGGTTCATGTCTGCTTGGACAAGTGGGACAGTGTGGTGCAACTGGGCCCCTGCCAGCACGCCCTCGGCTCCATCTGCAGGCAGCGGTTGTCCAAAACTAAAACCAAACGCTTACTGCATTAACAGCCTTCCCCATTCATCCTGCACTCAGGGGTGGTCAAAGAAGACTTCCAGGATCTCAGTCTCTGGCTGCTTGCAGGTGGATGGTAACTGTCATTTCCCCATCATTGTTCAAAGACCTCCTTAGGAGGTTAGCCATCCTACCAGCAGCCATCCCACTTTGTGAGGTGGCTCCCATCTCTCCCAGCCAAATGTTGACCCTCAAACAGGATCCCACAGTCACAAAAACCAAAACCCTACTGCAGAGTTCTAAGAAGTTCACAGCCCATGAATATACTTGGGCAACCACAGTATTTGGTAGGTAGAGTGACAGGCAGCACTTCATGGAACAATGTTTGTTCAGTTTTATTACGCTGCCTGTTAAATATGATTAAAAGGCCCTGGACTTATTGCATCGGGGTTTGCACAACTGCCATCACCTCAGTGTCCCTGTCTGGGTAGGTGATTGAACACCTTCTTGTGCACCCAGTCAGCAGGCTTCACACACCCTGGTGCAAGAGAGACCCACACACCACGGAAATCTGTCTCTCAGGAGAGCAGAATCGCAGCGGTGACAACGTGATGTTTCCGAGCCCTGTTCTGCTCTCCCAGGTAGGTCCTGGAAAGGAAACACACCTTCCCAGTGTGAGAAACATTTGTCGCGCCAATTAACAGGCCCACACAGATCCTTCAATGAAGCACAGTTTATTTACATTCTTGCAAGAATGGGTGACCTAAACAAGCAGGCACACCCATAGTAAGGTGAATAACGGTTTATATTCCCTATTCCCAACGCAAATTTCCTTCCTGCTTCCCCACTGGCTGGGTACTCCAGGGTTCACAGCCCATCTGACGCTTCAAATTATCCTGTAAGTTTCCCGCCCCTGCTTACACATTCCATTCTAGCAGTTTACTTTTTACATTTTAAGGTAAAATTTTGACCTTTCTTGCCCCCTTGTCTGTCTTCCCAATTAACAAACCTACTGGTGTCATCCTGCCCTGAGCAGCAAGACAGCAGTGGCTTTGTTGGGTCTGATCTTGGGCCATAAATCCTTCTCCCTGTTTAGATCCCCAGGTGGAACCCAATTCACTCCCTCAGTTTCTTGGCTCACAAACCACTCCTGGTGTCCTTAGAATGCGCAGATATCTCACTCATCTCAAACAAACTACATATTTCTAACACTAAGCTATAAACCAAACCTGACACGATGTTTCTAACACCAGAATGCAAAAAAACAACACTACATTTCATGTCTAACACCGGCAGGCCGGCTCCTGGCCCAGCAGGAAGCCCCAGGCAGACCCCCGGTCCGAAGGCCGGAGGCAGGGACCGGGCTCAGCGCTGGGAGGCAGAAACGACCTGGAAAGCTCCCCCAGCCCAACCCCCCTGCCAGAGCAGGGGCACCCAGAGCACATCGCACAGGAATGTGTCCAGAGGGGTCTGAATGTCTCCAGAGAAGGAGACTCCGCAGCCTCTCTGGGCAGCCTGGCCCAGGGCTCTGTCACCCTTACAGGAAAGAAGTTTTTCTTGATATTCACACAGAACCTCCTGTGCTCCAGTTTGCACCCACTGCCCCTTGTCCTGTCACTGGACATCCCTGCACAAAGCCTGGCTCTGCCCTCCTGACACTGCCCTGAACAGATCTGTGCCCATGGATGAGGTGGCCCCTCAGTCTCCTCTTCTCCAAGCCCAACAGACCCAGC